CCTGGCACAGCCCATGGGGCTGCAGCCAGGGCCATGGGGCCGCTGGGGGTGGCAGGGCTGGAGCCATGGGGCTCAGCCAGAGGAGGACGCCCCTTTCCATGTCCCCAGCACCACAACTACAGCCAGACCCCATGATGGATAACACGAGGTGACACGGCTCAGCGTGAGTCAGGGATGAGCCAGGCCAGCATCCCTGCCGGCCCCTGGCCCGCCTGAGCGGCGCTGATGGGCAGAGCTCACCCTGAATGCCTGGGCTCCCAGAAACACAGCCCCCCCTCCTCCAGACAGGCACCTTGGTCCCGCTCACCACCACATTGCCACGGCTCGGAGAGCCACCCACCAGCCTGGCACTGGGACCCGCCGAGCCCGACCCTGCACCCGCACCCTGATGGGCACCCCAGTGTCAGGGCAGAGCAGGGGCATCCCAGCCCCACTTGCCGACTCCTTTCCAGCAGGCTCCAAAGCATCCCGGCCCACCCCAGCCCCCGCGATTCGGCTGTGGGTGATGTCAAGGTATGTTGGATTGCAAATTAAACATCAGCCCGCTGCACGGTCCCGGCTCCATCTGCAGAAAATGAGTTGCTGGACTTGGAGAGTGTCCAGTTGTGCAGCTCGGCGTGCCTAACACCCAGGGCTGACAAGCCACTGAATCACTCCTCCCCGCGCTGCCAGGCCACAGGAAGCCAAGATACATTTCTTTTTAATGATAAGTTTTTATTGTTTGGAGTTCAGCTAAAACAGCCTCCCAAGCACCCGTGGCCTCCTGCTTCCAGAGCGGCCGAGCCATGTGGGGGCTGAGCCCGGCCGGCGTGGGCATGTCAAACACCCCACTGGTGGAATGAGTTGGATGGCCTCAGCTGTAAAGGGAAGGCCTTGAAAACCTTCCGTGGGGAAGGAGCTGTGCTGCTGGCCATGAGCATCGCCTGGTAAATCCACACAACACCACAGCCAAAGGCAGGATTTGCACCTGGCTGGGAGACAACACACACTCATGCGGGTACCGACTGCTCAACCCAGGGCTGCGCTTCCCTCCTGGCCCCAGCGAGCCCTTCGGCACCGTTTGCTGCCCCGGCACGCACCCAACTCTTCCCAAAATGGGGTGTGTGTCCTGGAGAGAAGCCGCTTGGCCCCCTGGCCTCCAGCACGCACAACCTACGTCCCCTGCAGGGAGGCAGCCCCCACCCCAGCAAAGCCACACGGGACCTGCTGGGGGGTCCCAAACCAGGGGTAGAGACCCAGGGAGAGTCGAAGCAAACCTCCATCCCTATTGTGCTGCCCTGCCCTGGGAATAGCTTCGTGCTGCAGGAGGGGGAGTGTGCAGGGGGGCTGCAGAGCCCCCTCAGGAAGTTTCCTGGGGGCTTCTCAGCATGGAGAGAAGATCCAGCCTCCCCCCAGCCGGATTAACGCTGCTCTCACAATTCTTCTCTGAACCTCTTAGCAACATTCCTGCCTGCGGGTCAGACAAGCAGCAAATAAAAGATTTAAGGGAGGTGGCGCAAAGGTACGGTAAAGAAAACCACATCCATGCCCGGAGAGGTGGCGGTAAATCAGGCCGGGGAGGGACTCCTGCGCGGGAGCTGGCGGCACGCAGGGCCAGCACCGCTGCTTTGGGCTGGGAACGCTGAGGTTTGGGCAAGTGATGCTCCAGTGGGCATCGGTGTGACCCCCGCCCTGCTGGGGGGCTCAGCCACTGTCTCCCCCCAGCCAGCACCAGCTTTCCACCGTGCACTGGGGTTTGCTAACAAGCCCCCAGCACTCTGACTACTCTTAGGCACACAGGTTTGGG